TGGGAAAGATGTATTTCATATTAATGGTTCTAGCTATTGTATGCTAAAATCTAACTCTAATTATTGGGTTGTCCTCCATTTGATCAACTCTTATTATTAGGGCTTCTTCTCACATGACCATATGATCTTAGGCCAGATTCTACCATATTTTGCCCAATAGGTGCTACCTCTGCTTTCTCTCTAATGCATTTGTTCCAAATTTTGACTTTTATTTCCACTCATCCACCACAACATTCTTATTTTTCCAACACTTAGCTTATGCTCTTGTTGGCTTTCTACTACCCAACATTCATACGTTAAAGCATTGTCAATTTTATGGCTGTGCAGTAAAATTTTCCTTTGAGTTTGAGAGGCACCTTTCAATCACAAATAACACCTAAAGCATTTCTCCATTTCATCCACCTAGCTTGAATCCTATGTTTTACATCTTCTTTTTCTCTATCACTTTAAACAATAGATCCAAGATACCTATACAGTACTGAGTTAATATTATCCCCCTATGAGTTCTATTATCTAAATTATAATCGATTGTAATTTGCTATTTGCTTTTATTAGTCAGTATTTACCAAAAATATTGATGCTTTTTTCTCCCTTGTTTGCCATGTTTTGGGGGGCAGCAAGAACGGTGGCAAAAGCCCTTTTTGCGACGTTTGCAGGTTAGCTTTCAGAACATCACAATCAATATGTTCTTTGTCACTGGTATAATAGTGCATTTGTATTTGAAGTCAAATTTAAATATATTTGATGATTTATTAGTTCTATTATTCAATTCAGCTTCAATACCTTTGACTGATAATCACTGTATAACTAATAATAAGTCCTTTAACCTTTTACACGAAATAAATGTGTATGTAGTTTTTTATTGCGATCAAGAAAAGGTTTTGAAAAATAGCTTGACTAATTATTTGATTAATTTAATGAAAATCACGCGATTGGCACTAAAATTAAGAAATTCTTAGTAATATTTATTAAAAAAATTGGTTTTTGGCAACGAAGGACTATTTCTTAAAAAGAGAACAAATAAAATATGGAGGAGTCTCCTTTATTTATCTGTGTCAATGTTTCCGCCCTGCAACCTTCACAAGGGGACCGACCTCCAGGCCGTGTTCCACAGTGAGTATCGGTTGGATTGGACTGCCGACTTGGGAGCGTTTCGACAGAAAGGGCATGATAGATGAGAACCATGGCTGTCTAAAAATCTCAAGGCAACCACCGCAAGAGGTATGCTCATCGCTGTTTCTTCTTTTTTGTTATGGGTATCATCGTTGTTGTGGTCCAAAAAATGGTGTTCAATGAATGCCTCTAAGAACCCTAATAAAGTAATGTTCATTTACATTATTCTCTCTCTGTTCAGGTTGTACGAAAGAACCATTCACATTTTCCCCTTCTGATTGTCGACAAATATATTTGTCAGCCGCACGACTAGGTGTTTGTAGAGGTAATTGAACAGGGACAATCACCTGCAAATATTGTATTACTCAAATGAATTAAATGTATGACTCAAACACAAGAAAGACTTGCTTCAAATGAATACTATACTATGTATGTGATGAGTTATGTTGTGTTTAGCAAAGTATCCAAAGTAAATAAAAATAGTTATCAAATGGAACAGTCTTATTTGTTTGATTGTGGGAATTTGTCTAAAAATCTGAGGGTGTAATTTGTTATTGAAACTTGAAAAATCCCTTCTTTTTCTGTGAGGATTTTCCCACTGTCTTCAATTCAATCACCCTTTCTACTTTTAATTGTTAAGAATAAATGTAGGATTAGGAAGATCCTGAGGGAACTAAAAAATGTGTTTCTTTCAACAATAGAATTTTTTTTTTTTTGGAGTAAGAAATATTCTCATGTAAGAATTTTTCCTTTTCATCCACTTTTGGCAACCAAACAATGTACTATACGATGGCAATAATGTTAGTAGACCTTCTTTTCTTCCCTTTTCCCCCCCTCTCTCTCTCTCTATATATATATACTATAGACAGAAATCAACTACCTGGGGCAGCTGTATCATCCTAATCTTGTGAAACTGATTGGTTACTGCTTAGAGGATGATCACCGAATTTTGGTATATGAATTTTTGGCCAAGGGCAGCTTGGATAATTATTTGTTTAGAAGTAATTTTTTTCAAGTAGTAACTGCCATGATTCATCTGTGTTACTTCCTGCTTGCTGGTTGTTAATTCTTAAATAATTAAATAAACCTTAAATCCCTGCTCTCTAGTTAATTACTTGACTTACTTTCAGTGTATCCTTGATGTGCTTAAGCTTTCTGACTTTGTTGCAGCTGCAGTTGACGGCCATTTATGCAATACTACTGTCATCAGTTTTGGGTTTTGGAATTGCTATGGGAATCAACTATGTATATATCCAGTATGTCACTTGGAGACTTCAGGTCTCTCATAATGATAGCCCAGTATGAATCTCCTCAGAAGGGAAATAACTTCATGGATTTTCTTTGTACCTACTGATACGATGGCCTTCAATCCGTGTTTATTTTGAACTTCATGACAGCAAGAGCAGCCCAAGGGATGGCAGCAGCAGCCCAAGTAGTGAGAAATGAATTAAAGACAGTGCAAACACCAAATGAGAAGAGAAACCATGAGGCAGGGAACGCAAGTCACAAGCAAGATAGCACCATTTTTTTTGTGAGGTTCAGTGTGGAGGAAAGGAGTCTGTAATTGGATAAGCATGAGTGTGCCATTCATCTAGTGTTGTTAGTTTATATTTGTGCAGAGCCATAATTGTTACAGGTTGTCAGAAACTATTGTAAAGGACACAGTCCTAATAGTGTAATTGGAATCCTGTTACTATTTCCTTGCAAATGTTGTAAGAGGATTACATCCTCAGTTGCTGAATATTCAATATAAGTGAGTACTGTTGCTGTTCATTGACTTGTGTTGCTGTTCATTGATTTACTGCATTGAAAATACATAAACCATTCCATTCTGTTTGATATTTCTCATTGCTAATCGGTGCCATTACAAAAGCATTTGTTTCCTCAACTGCCCTGTAAAATGCTGTTTGATATTACTCATTCATAATAGGAAGCAAGCACAAACAGTAAAAGGATTTGCGTACAGACAGTAACTGTATGACCACCACTTACAGATTAAACATCAACTGTATTCATGTTGATAACCATCTTACTAAATAAAATATCAAAGAGGACTTCAGTACAGAATGTCAAGGACAATGACTTGAAACTTGTTTACATATCATTGTGCAATATTAACTTATACAATATTAACCTATACATAAATCAGGAACTTAATACCCATTGCAATAGCTAAAACCTTAAAAGAGGCTCGTTGCATGAGTTTATGTATTGAAATCATAAAACAGTGTTTCAAAATTCCTATATACTCTCGATCAAAAAAGCTCTATCCAAGTAAGAATGGTGAATGGATCAATCTTCAATTCACAGAATGGCTAAAGCTTGGAAATCCTCTATCTTCGTGCATTGGCCCACTGCCTATTGTGATTCCCAGGTTTGAAATGTGAATTTCGTTGGCCACTCCCTTGCTTGGGGAGATCATTTATTTCCAGAACTTGTATTGTCCTCTGCCTCTTAGCTGCAAGCAACAATGAAACTTTCATCAATTAATTATGAACTTAGTAATGTGCCCCCAAATAAAGAAAAAATCATCTGAAAGTTGACAAGATAAATCCAACATTCTAGGCAATTAACTTTAGTGTAGAAGATTCTCTAGGAATGTAGAAACTACTGGACACTCTAACAACTTAAAATCAGATAGGAGTTTAGGACTTTGATTTTGGTAAAGGAATGACAAACCATTTTCAACTCGTTGATAACGCTCCTGAATTTTCCTCTTAGTGGCCTCTAGCTTTACTTGGACTGCAGTTTCTTCATCTGAAAGCTTGGATTTCTGATAAACAACATTTCAAGGTCAGAGAGAACTCAAACCTAAAAATTAGATGCACAGAGAGATTTTTTATTCTTACATCTTTCTGAATCATGGGAGGCTTCTTTGGGATTGTATTGTTCTCTATTTTTGGCTGCATCTTTGGCTCCATATTGCTTTTTCGCTGCATAGTTGATTTTGGGGGTCTGACAGGGAAATTATCAACAGTTTCTGGTTTATTTAGCCTCACAGCAACCTCATTTTTCCTTGGTTGCTGACTCTCCTTGGCAGTGATGGATGGCTCAATGGAAGCCTCAGATTTGAATTGTCCACTCTGTTGAGGATCTGAAAAAACATTCCCCATTCATAATCATATTCTAAGATGAGAGGAATTCAAATCTAGAACTGTAAAGCAAAAAGTCCTTCATCAAGAACAGATGGATTTACAGAATCTGGAGTGCCTTCTGAAGCTACAAATATTTAATAAAACCGCTTTTAAACATTTATTAATTTTAAAACGGATAAAAAAGCAGCAGGTTATTCACATGAAAGCAGAATTATTTTTTTCTACCTGCAATAGCTGTGGTAGTGGAAGCCTTGCACCACTCATCTACCATTTCTTTCCAGCAACTACAAAGTCAATAAATTATGAAAATGTTTAGAATGCAAGTGAACAAATTAAACAGATGCCACATCTCAACTTGTACACTAATAAATAATAGCTGACTTTTAAGCAGAAGAGACATGCTACCATAAGTGTGATTAACTAAGAAACAGGTTCAGACTAACTAAATCTAATAATTGATGGTTGATGACAGAGAATTACAGATGGGTCAGTGCAACAACAGTGAGTGAATTGTATTAATCTTCATTTACACACACAATACCAGAATAGCAAACCACTAATTGGAACCAAAGAAACTGGTTACAAGCTATTTCTTTGATCCATGTAGAAGAAGATAAACAGGTTCATTTATCTTTGTAAAACAAGCCAATGATACATGAATGAAAAACAAATATCCAGGAAAAACTTATTCATACTCAATAAGAGTTCGTGCGAGTTGACTAATATCCTTTGATCCATGCTTTCGGAGAGGAATGACAGCCTTTCCAATCTTAGTTTCCTGGCAAAGTTAAATTTTGAGAATTAGAGGACTCAAAAAAAAGGGCACTGGAAAAAGCAAGGAAAAAATTGTAGGCTCATTGAACGAGTAATAAGAAATGGTTCAATTCAAACCTCTAGAAGATTCACTTTGAGTTCCATCAGCTGGAGCCTCCTCAATGACTCAAATAACACAGAGTCAGACTGTTGTGACACAAAACAAAGCAACATGAATCAGGGACCAGAGGACATAAAAGAATTCAACCTTCAAAGAAGTACTAAAATGCCATCCAATAAAAACCATATTCATAAATTCAGAAACCTATCCGTTCAAAAATCTCATCAACCATCCAAGTAAATTGCAATACAAAGAAGCAAGAACTGATACAGAACATAAAGAAGGGAAGAAAAAAAAAACAATGAAAAGAGAAAGGAAGAGAGAGGATATACCTCTTCTTTAAAGTTAAGCAGAACTTTTTGGATCCTCAAAACCTCTCCACGGCCATCTCTAATGCTGTTGACCTTGCCGTCTTCACTTGCCCCTGCTTCAAGGGCAAGCCCATCATCAACGTCTTCATGATCCACCCTTTCACACCCCAAACATTTAGTCGTCAACATGCAAGAGAACAATCTCTCAGCAATCCCATCTCTCCTCAGCTTGAACTCCTTGGGGAAATCCGAAGCTGCCACCATGATGGAATGATGAATGATGTCGAATATATCAGACGACTTGGCAGTGCTAAAGTAATTCCTCCAATGATCCAGTGACTCAGACTTCATGGTCATTGCAAAATAACCACAAACCAGAGAATGAATTGAAAAAAAATTGAAAACCAGAGAATGAATTGACCAGAGAATGAATTGACCAAAGAATGAATTGACCACAGAATGAATTGACCACTGTTGACGACAATAGAGAATGAGAATGAGAATGAATTGTTATAACCCAGCAATCACCAGAGAATGAGAATGAATTGACCAATGTTGACAACAATAGGATTCTCCTCCGATGCTTCTTATAAAGAAAAAAATCACGCGGTCGTAGCAATGATTAAGGGTGGAATCCGGAATCAATGCATAATTTATTATATTTTGGTATCTTGACGTTTGCAAATTTATTATTTTTCCCTATCTTGGGTTTGATTGGATTAATATTCGGCGGCAAGAAAGTTTCCAAATTTATTATCTTTTCGTATCTAGGGATTGGAGCGGATTCGGTAATAGAAATAAAACTTCTCATCGAATTTAAAATTGAGTTATTTCCAAATTGTTAACATAATTTTTCATTTAATTTATTTCCAAATTTTGAATTTATTTTACAATATAAATAATTTTGTTATTTAACAATATTTTTTTAAATGAGTTGTCTGCCACAATAAATAATTAACTTAATTTTTCATTGATTTTTTATTTCGATTTATGAAAGAAATTATTATTTATTTAATTTTTTATTTCCAAATCCTTTCCCATCATTCCAATTTAAAATTTGAAATTGAAATCCAAAATTTGAAATCAATTCAGAATTCGAATAATTAAATGACCATTTGTGGTGACAGGCATAAAAGAATAATTAATTAATAAATATAGTTTTGAAATTCGAAATTTTAATTGGATAATCAGGTGTTTTAATTGCTTTTTATGTTGGAATTGGTTGTCTGATCTGAAATTCGAAATTTGAAATGGTTTAAAATTTTTAATTTAAATATGGATGGTGGGAAAAGAATATCTTTTAAAAATCGAATTTTAATCTTTAAATCGAATAATTTAATGACCATTTGTGGTGGCAGTCAAGGCATTTAATGTCCCACTGCCCATCACATTGGTATCCAAAAAGAAAACAACTGTTTTAATTGCTTTTTATGTTGGAATTGGTCATCTCATCTGAAATTCGATATTTTAAATGGTTTATCAATTAAATTTCGAAATTATGTATTTATTTTGCACAATCTGAAATTCGAAATTTTAAATTCAATAAAAAGAAAACTCTTTTCACGGACATGCATTCACGATCTCTATTCATGGAGATCAATAGAAACAAAAACAAATTTCACAATTGTTGAAGACCTGATTGTCATTCAATTCACAATTTCGTTACGGTTATTTTTTAAATGATATATACACAATAATGATATGACAAAGACATTATCTTTGTTATATATTTGATTCAAATATCATAACAATCAAGAATCAAGAGAGCTGACAGACAAAATAAATTAGATAATCAGGTGTTTTAATTGCCTTTTATGTTGGAATTGGTCGTCTGATCTAAAATTAGAAATTTGAAATGGTTTAAAATTTTGAATTTAAATATGGATGGTGGGAAAAGAATTTCTTTTAAAAATCGAATTTTAATTTTAAATTGAATAATTAAATGACCGTTTGTGGTGGCAGATATAAAAGAATAATTAATTAATAAATATGATTTTGAAATTCGAAATTTTAATTGGATAATCAAGTGTAATTGCTTTTTATGTTGGAATTGGTCGTCTGATCTGAAATTTAAAATTTGAAATGGTTTAAAATTTTGAATTTAAATATGGATGGTGGGAAAAGAAATTCTTTTAAAAATCGAATTTTAATCTTTAAATCGAATAATTAAATGACCATTCGTGGTGGCAGACAAGACATTGAATGTCTCACTGCCCATCACATTGGTATCCAAAAAGAAATCAGCTGATTTAATTGCTTTTTATGTTGGAATGCGTCATCTGATCTAAAATTCGAAATTTGAAATAGTTAAAAATTTTGAATTTAAATATGGATGGGGGGAAAAAAATTTCTTTTAAAAATCGAATTTTAATTTTTTAAATCGAATAATTTAATTACCATTTGTGGTGGCAGACAAGGCATTGAATGTCCCACTGCTCATCACATTGGTATCCAAAAAGAAATCAGCTGTTTT